GCAGCGACAGCAGTGTAGGGGCGCAGTAAAGCATCTCATACTGTCAGGCAAACACGCAGGCGCAACGCCCTCGTCAAGAACGAACCGACAAAACAACAACCAACAAACGAACAAAAAAAACATCCGTAAAGCAGTAAACCAACAAAATACCTAACCGATACACTAAAAAGCAAATTGGTGAATAGCCTCGTCATTGATAGAGGCGAACAATATAACAAACAAAAAGGACGAAATAAAATGAGGACCCCGCTGTGCTGGAGCCGATGAAAGAACACAATTTGTAGGTCCAAAACAAAAAAAATATATGCGTAAAAAAAAAACGTAAAAAAGTGTACCCACATGAGAAAATATTTACTTCAGAGAGCGCATGGAGAAACGGAGATGTCCTCAGTAGAAGCACAAACTCCCGTCCACCGGGGTCCACTCAGCACAGGGCCGCAAAGCCCCATAGCCCCAATAGAAGCAGAAGCAGCCGAGACACACACCCATGCACTGTGCCGTCACTCCTTCCTGAATCGGGCCTCACACGTGTAAGGTTCTCGAAATCAACGGACCTGTCACCAGAAAGAGAAGTGTTGGATGCGTCCTTCGCAAGAATTGCGCTGGTGTTTTCGGATCCACCGTCAGCCAGGCGCACCTTTGGCGATGACGAAACCAACGAAGACCCCAACTCCTCAGCAGCACTGTGATTGCCTTTATGGGCCTCCTCTGGTAGAGGTCCTTTAGGATTCAAACCGTCATCAACCCTCTTTTCTCCAGGTTTGAGCTTGGAGGTAATCTCCCCATCATTCCCCAGCGTTGTGAGTGGCCCCTCAGCAGCCGGTGTTGGAAGTGAGACTTTGCTGGTACTGAGGCTCGTGAGCTCATCACCATAAAGTCCGTAGTTGTACAGCAGGACACTGCCCACCGTCACGTCAACCTCGCCTGTCCCCTTCGCACCGTCGCCGCCAACGTAGAAGTCCAAGACATCGTATGAGGTGTACTCAAAGGGCGAAATTTCCTCCTGAATAAGCTCATTATTGTCAACGTACACATAAAACTCATTCACATCCCTTTTCAGTACCACTTGATACGTTGTGCCAGGCTGCCACGTACCATCTTTATCTGACAACTCCCGAGAGTTTCCGTTGACAGTCACTCCCCACTTCTTGTCCTTCGTGTAGAAGAGACCAACAAGCACAGTGCTGACATTGTCATTCATCCTCACACTCATCAAAGGAGCAGGACTGTCTGTCTCCGGCACCGCGTTAATCATCACCGTCGCCACAAGAGTGAACTTTTTTGTTCGCAAAGTGGTACGGTTGGAACTGCCCCTTGTTGCCCACCGGCCACTCCGCCCCCGCTGCTGCGCCTTGGAACCTCACGCCCCCCTCCGTGCCTGCCACATTCCCACCATGCACCATTGCGTTCACTCCGAGGTATTCGTCCTTCCATAAATTCCCCTCCAAACTGTTGGACCAAAAGCCAACCAGCCCTTCCGTGGGAACAGGACCTTTGCACACATTCTTTATCCGCGGGTCAACAGTGCCAGTGGAAAGGCAGTTGTTGAGTGCGGTGTCCATATCTTTCCAGGCTTTCACCACGCTCTTTATCCGCTCCAGCTGCTCAGTCAGGCTCACGGCGACAAGACTGTATGAATCTCCGCTCTTCTTCTCGTACAGTAAAATCAACTCCTTCTTGTCGGCTCTGTACAGCAAGGAGCTGGCGGCGGCATCATCACCTTCGCGAGATACCGGCCCAACGTCGTGCACACGGGCATTGTCTGTCATCCAAAGATGCAGCCGACCCTCTCCCTTCTCCTCAGAATACACTGGCGTGGTGAGCAGCATCACCTTCTTTCCATCGATGGTTGCAGTGATGAGTCCACTTCGCACGCCCT